GGTAACAGCGGCTCAGCACATTCATCCCCAAAACACCCGGGACCTGAGCACACATGCCACCAGGAGGATCCCTGACCACCAAAACCCCACACTTATGCACTGTCTTTCCGCACAACCCCACATCTAACTCCATGTAGCCGATATACGGAATTGCAAGCCCATTAGCGGCACGCAACTGAAGCCATTGGCAAAGTTTTAACCGCTCTTGGCCCCATGGTTCAAAATGTTCCAAAAAACAGCTTTCAGTTATGGTCGATACCATGGAGCCGGTATCGATCAAGCAAGGCACCAAAACTCCACCAATACTTGCCCTCAACTGCGGGCAACCAGACATTAAACGCGACATTGAGCCCGCGATTTCCCCCTCCGAGCTATGGCTCGAAAGCCCGGTGGGTACTAGTTTCCCGACAGCTGACTTGACCGACGCTGCCCCTCCACAGGCAATGTACCAGCACCAGGAGACGGGGGGCCGGCCAATTGAACATTACACTCTCTGGCAAAGTGGCCAGGTTGATGGCAACGCCTACAAAGTAGCGGCCCATAACGAGGGGAACGCCCCCGCTCACGTGCACCCTGAAACTGAGCACCTTGAAACTGAGCAAAAGTCTGAGTGAGTTGATTCAACTGATTTTGTTGCCCCTTCAACATCTCCCTTAATTCGCTCAGCTCTGACTGAGAGGACCCACCCCCGTCCGAACGCGTTCCCCCCTGAACTCCATATTGAATCCCATACGATAATGGGACTGACTGGCTACGAGCCCGCACACCCCCAGGCATACCTTCCTGTTCCCACCTAATCGCTTCACTGCGCACCTCTAACAGTGTGGCATTCGGTTGACGGCGGACTAGCTGTTTGAGCTCACGGCGCAGAGCATTATCGGCCACATGTTCGACGAACTGGTCCCTCAACAAAACAGGGGCATTTGACATAGCCCCAGGAAACCGGTGCTTAACTTTTTCCATAAGGCCCATCAAGACAAGTGAGAACTCCAATAAGCCCTCCCCTTCCCTTTGCCTTCTGGAAAAAAAGCTTCCTGCAATGCTACGTGGGACTGAGAGCAACCAAAAACCTCACGTAACGCGAGGAAAATCCTATCTGGATCCCCGCGTTCAATATCAGAACGGTACCGGATTTCCTCTCGTGCCTCCCCCTCTAAGTGGTCAAATAAAAAGAATGCCTGGTCTGCTACAGACAAATGCAGAGCCCGAATACAGGCCTGTGCCTCCTCAATCCACTCATTGATGCCAATTCCTGATTTTCCATTAAACTTGGGACACCTCCGGTCCCTAGGTACAAACACGAATCTTTCGGGCTGACTAGCACTCACCTCGACTGGATGGGGCGGAACAGGCTCTGCATCGGGCATATTAGAAGAGGCAGCGGAGCCAGGCAATGCAAGGGCACGCTCTTGACGCAGCCTCTCATTGTCTGCCTTCAACTGGACCACCAGATCTCGAAGTTCCTGGAGTTGTTCCTCCATTCTTAAAGTCAACACTCACCACTAACGAGAACTGCTCTCCACAATCTAGACAGACGCTGCTGCTTTGCCCTGATACAAAAAAACAAAAACAGACACACTGAATTGCACAAACACCCCAATTACAATTTTAAACCAATATGCATACACGTCTCCACCTTGCAACCGTGAGGACCCTGCCGACTACGCCAAATGTGGCCAGGTTGATCAGTTAGCGACTACGCCACCCTGGAATCCTGCCAGGGACGATAGAATAACATTTCTTATTTAAAGCAACGCATGGTTCGCTCACAGTAAACGGCGGGAGACGTGGATGAAAAAATATAAATTTTATTACAGATAAAATTTGAGGTTCATGAGCACAGAACAAACCTTCAGCAACAGTTTATAGACCACAACAATTACACCATTTGACAACACACAAAACGACTGAGTAATCAGTTACAGCTGAATCTGGACAGGGGAGCTGAAGTTTGACAATAAAACACAATATGGCCTCCACGGCAAATCACTCTTCCCATACCCCTGTGCTTCGGCACTCTCGCACACGTACACCACTCAGGACACAGCACTCGTGATAACAGACCACAACCAGCTTTCCGCGCCGGCTCCAGCACTTAACCCCTGTAACAGATTCAGGGTATACACCACTCAGGCTCTCTCACACTAAACAGTCACTTTACTAAAGACAACAGAACAAGGTTATCGCCTCTCTACTTACACATAAACAATTAGGATGCCAAAATAAATCCAATACAAAAAGAGATAAATAGAACCACTTCTGACCACACAAAAATAAGAAAATAAAGAAATTCACAGTTAACAAAATTCACATCAACTTGACCAGTGCAGTATCACAACTCAACCATACACACACTAACAATATTACAATCTTACAAAAGGAAAATAAACACACCCACACACACACACACTTCGGTAACAAACACAAAAAACAATTTCAATGCAAATATCAGAAGCAAGCAGCAGCGCCTCCAGACGATGTCCCACGTAGTCCCACAGCACGGAACAAATCGCCCATAACACGACCACTCTGTACCCAATCCCTCTGTAAAATTACCAGTTTAACAATTAGACGAGATCTCCATAATTTAACTAGTTACAGCTGTTCATAAAATTAGTTTCTCTCTACAGGAGATCGCCACCCTTAAATTATAAACGCACATACCTTGTAAGTGCGATCGCCAGACACCCGATCAGTTAGCCAACCGGATATACATGGAAGCTGAGGGCTCGTCCAGTTTATCGTGGGGGAACGAACGCGCCGATGACGACCAAGCGCCTTCGTACTGGGCTACAAATAGCCTATAAACACCCGTGCTTGAATCAGCCTCACTCCAACCTTTGACTGTAAACACACAAGGGTACTGCTACAGTAGAAACGGATACTCAGATAACACAATCAACTCTTTCACCTACCCGAAGAGGGACAGTCTCGCTCAATGCCAGCCGTAGGGATTCATACGCCACCCTGAATGACGGCCAAATGACGACACCGGAAGTAAAGGCGGTGACTCGTAACATCACCCACTCTAAACAACCCCTTTATAGACGCTACTGCAGCTCACTGATAGGAGCAACTTAACAAGTAGGCGAGCCAACCGCATATAGGCGGGACGAATTTCATTGGACCTGCCACACTTACATTGATTCAAAAAGCATTCAATTGTTTCTAAAATGAGTTACAATTTCTCTAACGAAACAAATTAATATAAAATTTGAGTCATACCAATGCTGCATCCGAAATCGCATACTTTCGTAGGTAGGCGAAAAACAGTATGTGACAACAGAAGTTTGTCCAAATTCACAGTACTCATAAAAGAGAAAATCTGAAGTGCATACGATGGACACTTTACTATCCCATGAGGCCACAGGAGAGGATTTGTGAATAGCAATCATAGACAGTAAAAGATAGCAATCTGATAGCAATGAAGCTGACGCTGGTCGGTCACATGATAATGACAATTAACATGGCGAATGTAGTAACGTTAGGCTACGTCCAAATTACATTCATAAACTATACACACACTCATACTATATATAGAACTTACTTTTTTAGCGGTCGTGAAGTAATTACTTATTCAAAATAAGTACTAGGCCTAGCAGCTACCTACTCGAGAGAGTAACGTTAGGCCCTATGCGATTTCGGACGCCAAAGTGCGCTTGTGATACACGCCATCAACTTTTTAGTTTTATTCAACCAAAACCTTTGTTTTAGTTTAATAAAAAGAGGACACACAATATTACATAAATATTGACTGTTTTAACAAGCCTCGATGAGCTTTCATTTTGCGGTTGCCAGATGTAAAGATTTAAATCCCCCAATCAGAGCTCTTCTCAGAACATTTTCTGTCCGTTGTTTTACTTGAGTCCTGGCGCTCTCGTGAACTCACGTCAGTGACCCATGCGGAAGAAAATAAATAGTTGAATAAAGTCGTTTTTTTTTTTTTTTTTCACAAAAAGTATTCTCGTCGCTTGATGAACTTAAGGTTGAGCCACTGTAGTCACTTGGACTATTTTAACGATGTTTTTACTAACTTTTCTGGGCCGGCAGATGAAATTACATAGAAGCCTATGGAGGAGTGAGACAGCTCTCAGATTTCATCAAACATATCTTAATTTGTGTTCCGAAGATGAACGAAAGTCTTACGGGGTTGGAACAACATGAGGGTGAGTTGACAGAATTTTCATTTTTGGGTGAACTAACCCTTTAAGGCATTGTTGTCAGGGGTTTATTTTCAAGATGTTTGTGATGTGGCAGGCTGGTCCTCTCCGCATACCTTCATTGGGTTCACTAGCCTGGAGACTGAATCTACCACAGGCTCTCAAGTGCTTCTCAAGGGCTACTTTCCCATTGCGTCAACATTCTGACGCAGCGTCTCGTTCTCTTTTCAGGGAACCAGGGTTATAATCGTAACCGAGATGTTTTTTTTTTATTATAATAAAAATAATATAAAAATAAGCAAGCACATAGGCTATAGTCCACTTATACCAAAATTATGTTACAACTATTTTCCTCGTGTCACGCACTGCAAGAATACCTGTACAACATTCATAACTGAAAAAATGCAGCATTTGTTAATCAGAAGAGTGAGTTTTGTTTTTAGTTGTTATGGAGGAAGTTTCCCGTGTGGTCTATAAGTGTTATAAGAGTTGTGAACCAGTTTGGAGGGGTAATATGTATTACAGATAACAGAACATTTTTATGACCTTCTTTACAATATAGTTTCTATTGAATTAAGTTTTATGATCTTTCTGAACCCACATCGGCATAAGCTCGTGTAGCCTGGTAATATGAAGGATATGAGAAAAGTACAGCACCAAAACACATTTGTGGTAAATTATTCAATTAAAATTTGATATAGAGATTAGTTTTAATAATGATATAGTGTTAGCCTGTCAGAGAAAGGATAGTCCAGAGAACTGATTTCTCTGATCAGCAATAGCTGTCACATTATTACAAATACAGATTATTACAAATATTACAAATATTTCAAAAACAGAAAACAGACTCCACACTGATCAACTTAAACGTTAATAGTAAATGTGAATTTGCTGAGATATTAATGCCACTGTTCATATTCATTTTCAGTCTGTATTTGATAGATGTTTTCCGTAGCCATCTCTCTGTTGTACAGGCCCACACTGCTGCCAGAGTTACTGTAGATGACAGAGTTCTCGGAGTTCTGGGTTCTGAGGGAGAGAAACATGATAAGAAACATCGTGCTTAATGACTAGCGATGCCCATGATATGATCAGGCCTCAATACAAACATAAAATGTGACCTAATGGAGGGATGTTCTTTCTTTGATGCTGACTGTGGTATGTGTTGCATTCTTCATATCATTTTTTTATTTTATTTATAATATGCACAATAGTATTGCTTAAATAATTAAAAGATAGACTACCGTACAAAAGTCTGGAGTTGGTACATTGTTTTTGAAAGAAGTTAAATCACCATCATGTTCAGGCTTCATTTAATTCAGTGGTTCTCAACCTCTCCTGCAGGGACCCCCTGACACACCATGTTTCTGTTTTAACCCTGAAATGGCACACCTGATTCAATTAATTGAAGGCTTAATGAGTAGTTGACTAATTGATCAATTAACTAATTCCTACTTCCTACTCTAATAATGACTCATTAAGCCTTTAATTAATTGAATCAGGTGTGCCATTTCAGGGTTAAAACAGAAACATGGTGTGTCAGGGGGTCCCTGCAGGAGAGGTTGAGAACCACTGATTTAATTGATCAAAAACAGTAATATTATGAAATATTATTACAAATTAAAATAACTGTCTTTCTGTTTGAATATATTTTAAAATTCAATTTATTCATCTGATGCTAAGCTGAATTTTCAGCATCATTACTCCAGTCATCAGTGTCACATGATCCTTCAGAAATCATTCTAATATGCTGAGTCTCAAGAAACATTTCTTTTTATTATCAATATTGAAAACAGTTGAGCTGCTTAATATTTTTGTGGAAGCCATTATACTTCCCCCAGGATTCTTTTATGAATAAGTTTAAAAGAACAGCATTTATAAAAACATTCTATTTGACATTTTATGAAATGTTTTTGTAACAATGTAAAAGTGCACTGCCACTTTTAATTGGTTTAATGGGTCCTTGCTGAATAAAAGTATAAAAAAAATCTTACTGACCCCAAACTTGTGAACACCATTGTGTAAAGTGAGTAGTTTTATTTTAAATAGGAACATTTTAGCATTTTGTCAGCATAATGCAAACTGTAAATCTGTTTTTAATCAATATAATTTTGGAATTAATGTTTTTAATCATTCTAAATTAAGCATAAATACTAGCACTTGAAGGATTGACTTACATGTCTAACGCAGCTCTGGTTTTCTTCTTTTGCTTCCCTGAAAATAGAAAACGACAATTCCATTTTATAAATAAACGCAACGAGTTTTGCAGTTAAATTTTAAAGTGTGAAGTGCCAGTTTGGACTCACATAACAGAATGCCAGCAATGACTATCAAAGCCAACAGTAACAGGAGGACAGGCACAATAACTGCAGATTTATTTACCTTTAAGAAAAAAAATCAGTATCAGGATATCAAGTCATTATTGATTGTTTCAAACCGTAAATCAGGCTTCCTGTTATGGTGAAATACTCACACTCTCTTTGTGTTCCACAGAGGACGAATTAGGATACTTAACTGAGGTTTCTGCTTTTTAATGAAAAACACAATCAGCATATTTGCAAATACATACAATATGTTGCAATACAAAACAATTTCAAAGAGCACAGATCATCAGCTGTGTTATACCGTATGTTGTGCTGGAGTTCCACAGTCCAGAAGTGCTGCTCTCAGGAGCATTTGAAGAACTGACGAATGAAGAAGTCTCGTGTGTTTTATTCGTTTCTAGTAAAAAAAGGATAGTGTCACATAATGTGTCTACACTAACAATTTAAATGTCTTTAAATAAAGCAGAGATCTTTAATGACTAAATATTTGTAAAATATGCAAGCGCCAAAATCTCACCACTTGGTCATTATTAGCAATGATAAATTATAGATAATGAAACGTTTTTTTTTTTTATTGTAAATGAACATTTTGCTTCAGTCATTATAGATTCACTGCCAGGGTTAAAATCATAATACCTCCTGATGTTTCAGTGGTCTGTGATTCAGGGGTTATAAGCCCAGAACTAGGGGTTACCAAAGGCTCTTGTGTGGTTGGACCAGGTGCTTTGAAACAGGATGTAGAATTTTCCTTTTTTTAATGTTCAAACTCTCACATGAGCACGAGCTATCAGAAAACTGCTAAAAGCACTGACTTTACACAGAACTGATCTCATCTGCGATGACCGAATGATGGCAAATAATGTCAAACTTGTCACCATCACCAAAAACACTTCCTTTTTTAGACTTGATTATCAGTACTTTTTTGGTTTTGTCTGGTATGTTTTCATGATTCAGCCATCACAGATTCACAAAGACAGTATACATCATAGATATTCACATAGAAACACACACAAGTACCCTCTGCCATGACAGTGGTGAATACTCCTGTGATTTCATGCTCAGATATGCTGCTCGACGGGGATGTAGTTTCCCATGTTGTTGGAATAAGTGCTTTGAAGAAAGTGTATTTCAATGCAAAACTGTAATACTTTTTAAAATATTTAAAAAAATATTTTTTTATTGATCTTTTTTAAATCTGCACTACCATTCAAAAGTTTGGAGTGTGTAAGATTTTCTTAGAAGTCTCTTATGCTCAACGAGTCATTTATCAGATCAGATTCATACAGTAAAACCAGTAATATTGTGAAATATTACAATTTAAAATTAATGGTTTTATTTTATTTACATTTTTATTTTAATATATTTAAAATAAAATCTATTCCTGCAAAGCTGGATTATCATTACCCTAGTGCTCAGTGTAAAAAAAGTAGCTTCCTTACATTTTTTTAAATACAATCAACTTGGATGTTTAAGTCATTTCAACTTAAATTACATTAAACTGACTTTAAAAGTGAGTTGAATCTTGTAACTTATAAAACAAGTAGAAAATTGCTTAACTTATTTTTATGAGTTAAAGCAATGTAAAAACATATGTTGTCATAACTTATTAATCATATATTTTTACAGTGTGATCCTTCCGAAATCATTTGTGCTCACAATTTTTTTGACAGCATTTATTTGCAATATTTTTTGTAACAATTAAATGTCTTTACTATCACAAAAAGTATTTTAGTTTTTTACTTTTATTCCTTTATTTAAAAAAAAAATCTTACTGACCCCAAACCAAAACAAAAAAGCCAACAACATTTGTATTAAGTATATAGGGATTATGGCTTTGCTTACCGTCATCAACAATCAAATGAACGTAATACATCTTGTCATTAAACCATCCAGGAACATGTATACGGCATCCATATTTGCCAGAGTCTTTTTTTTTTATGTTAAGGATTGTCAGAGACACGTCTCCATGCGATATTTCTCCATCCAGCTGGTATCTCTTAGATATTCTCCTCACCACTTTATCCCCATCGCTTCCAATAATTTCATCACCACAACCCATTGTGGGAATGTCTCCTCTTATCCAGCATATTTCACATTTTCCATGGTATCTGCTGTCATATTTGCATGGCAAAGTGACACTCTCACCCTCGAAACTCTGCACGATGACGTCGCTGCATTTACAAACTGAAAGAGAGACAGTGACTTTATTTAAATAACCTTGAATTTGAAATTTAGATCATCAAATAATCAAAATTATTGTAGATAATTTGGCTTGATCAAATAAAATAATCTTAAGGGTTACTGCAAAATGAAATAGCCTATACATAAAACATAATATTTTAAAACATCAAATAAAAAATGTATTAAAATATGTATATATTACATTCTACTCTTTGCCACAAATTACTGATTGTAAGCACATCTCAATATAAATGTGAAACTCACTCGTCAGATAACAAATAATCCAGGATGTAAAGAACCAGCTGTGAAGATCAGTCATGATGGAAAGGTTTTCTCCCTGAAAGCAATGCTCCAGACTACCTCCTCTCTCTTCTTATATTGTTTCCCTTTACACGGAAGTCAACATGCACATGACAAATTCTCAGCTTTTCTTCAATGTGCAAGCAGACTTCTTTTTAAAGTTTCACTTCCATATGTGGCCTACTACTCTGTGGTCAACTTCAAATAACCAAAAGAGAGATTTGTGAACTGAGAACATAATATATGATCATCTACATGTACTGCAAAATCACAAAACACACACTTCTACAAAACATCACATGTGGGTTTTTACTTTTTTATTATTATTAATATTTAAGTGTTTGTACATCATTGGAACTTTTCGGTTGATATGTTTTTGATGTGACTGCTTTGAACACTAGAGGCCGCTACTGTACCATGGTGTTGTGTGGTAAATCAGATTCCGTTTCCAAAGAAATGCTCAAAACTTTAAGCCCACGTGGAGTTTGGACAAAGAAACATTCAGTAATTGATTTCTGAGAAGGAGATGCATGACTTATGATTAGAGTTAGGCCTATATTTTGTAAGCTTTTTTCAAAAAGACTTGGCAAATGAAGACACAGGCTTACAAACATATTACAATGAAAAAGTAAAACGACAACATATTGTAAATAAGTGATCTCAGACTTAGATTAATAATCAATCAATTATTTTATAATAGGCCATAAATATTAGCCACTGAGAACAAACCCCAAAAAAGGCAAAAAAACAAAAAAAAAGTCCACATCACCATATACATGTGGTCCATGACCTCAAATATGACTATCATATCCGTGTGTGGTTATTGTTGGGCTTGGGAGATCTGGCAGATTTTTAACTTCCCCTGTTGCTGGTGCGCTCTCTGAAGCGCCGCAGTCCTGAGGGCAGAGCGTTCAAATGGATGTGTTAATGCACAGTAAGCAAAACAGGCCATGAGTCACCTCTTTCACTTCCACTCAGCAATGAAGACACATTCTGAGAGCCAAACTTAACACTCTGCAGCACGAGAAGTAACAGAAGTTTCCACACAGCCATATGGAACGAGCAAGCGTTCTTGTTCATGCATCTTCTTGTTCATGCATAAAATAAAATGCTCAGAGTACACTTTTCAGACTGTATAATGTTGGGTAAAGGCTTATTTGGGTGAATGCGACAACCTGCCAAGATATTCACTCCAATATATATATATATATATATATATAAATTTTAATTACCAATGTGAGTTCACGCTGCTCCCGTGTCACGGTCGTGGTGCTTTCATGAACACGTGTTGGAGATTGATATTTTGTAAATTAAGTGTTTGTAATACACCAAATGCTCATTTTCATATCCGTCTCTTCATAAAATTGAGGTTAAACCACTGGAGTCACATGGATTCATTTAATGACGTCTTTTCTGAGGCTTGAAAGTGGTAGTTGCATAGACTGTCAATGGAGGGACAGAAATCTCTCAGATTTCATCAAAAATATCTTAATTTGTGTTCCGAAGATGAACGAAAGTCTTACAGGTTTGGAACGACATTATAGGGTGAGTAATTAATAACATAATTTTCATTTTAGGGGTGAACTATCCCTTTAACAAAATATATTGCAAGAAAATGTATGAATTATTTAAATTTGTACAATACTGTTGCTAGGATTTGCTGTACTGCCTCTAATTTAAGTTTGTGGAATTAAAAGATAATGTATTACAGTAGTGTTTTAATTACATTGAGAATCACCACTGAGACCAAACAAAAACCTTAATAAAAAGTAAGGCCTGGTTTCACACACAGGGCTTACATTAAGCCAAGATTAGGCCTTAGTTCAATTAGGACATTTAATTAGCTTTTATTAACATGCTTTAGAAAAAAAAGCATTACTGGTGTGCATCTTGAGACAAAACGATGGACATATTTTAAGATATGTTAGTTTAAGTTCCTTTCAGTTAAAACATTTTAAACATGCATTTTTGTCTGGGACTAAGCCTTGTCTGTGAAACCGGGGGTTAATGACACATTATAATAAGAATTCTAAGCTAAAATATCCAAGTCACATTGGAAAACAAACTTAATTTTCTTAATGCAAAATATGATTTCTTAGCTTCTTTTTTTAGAATGAATTTGGAATGAAATGCGATCTGGACATGTTCATTAGAGGTTTCACCCATTCACCCATTTATGCTACAAGTGTTTAATATTTCTCCAGATCTAGACCATTAGATGAATTACTTGCTAATCTACTTACTGAACAGAATTGCGATGATTAAACCCGGGATGAAGACAATGGCTCCCACTCTTACAGTATTTATGACAAATGCGTCCATTGCTTCCTAAAATGACACACCAAGTAATGAGTGAAACACCTTAATCATGTCCAAAACAAATAAAATCAAGATGCATAATACATTTACATACATTACTAACAACACATTGAAGCCAAAATATAGACTGACAGCAAAAGCAGAACAGCTAATGTCTGTCTCTGTCTTTGTAAACAGATGATTGCAATACCTCAGTATGGACCACTGCAACAGGTTCATCTATGTAGATGCCAGTAATATCTGAAATAAATAAATATGTTTACATTTACTCTGACAGATATTGGCTCATATTTCTGAATCTCTTTCAATGTTGATTAAGTGTGGTCATGATTATATTCATACCTGCAGTTATCTTTTCTGATGTGATATAAAGCTCAGTAATGAGTGTGGTTGGGTCTGATGCATAGTATACTGTGTGTGAAACAAAAATGGTTATTTTATCTCATATTAACTGGTAATTCCTATAATATACATTATGATTAATAATACAATAAATCAATGTATTGGCTAATAATGAATTATTGATTCATTATTGAAATTAATGAATGCAAAAGGACAAAAAGTAGTCCAATACTATAAGGACAATACAGTAAAAACAGTTGGAGTTAAACTGTTCAAAAGAACAGCACTTAGAAAATAGAAATATTTTGTAATATAAATGTCTTTACTGTCACTTTTGATCAATTTAATGCATGCTTGCTGCATAATATTATGACGTTCTTTGTCAGGTTGTCAGGCAACCATGTCTATGTTTACCATGTCCTTGGATGTACGACCTCGGACATCAGCAACAAAAGAAGCAGTTCTATAATTTGCATGGTTAAACATCTAGTTGCATTACCATTGTTTTACCCTGCTCAGAACAGAGCTGTGGCACACTTATTACTGAAAGGTTTCATACCTTGCTTTTCCTGCTTTGCCGTTGTAGGGACCAGCTGTGTTTCTGAGATGACTCTCTTTGGATCCAGTCCTTTTATGGAAGAACATACATACTATACATCATCATGTCTGAGCATAACAACATTGATACAAAAAGATTAAATTGAGTGGTTACTCACTATTGCTGATAAACAGATAAACATTGTGACTAATGTCATTGAAAGGTCCAGGGATCTCGATACGGCACACGTACAACCCAGCATCCGTATTTTGAGCAACCCTTATGGTAAGGGAAACATCTCCTCGGTCGAGTCCACTGACCAAGCTGAATCTATGTGACTCTCTGTAGTTCACTTGCAAGCCATCGGAGGAGATAACAGTGTTCTCACAATGGAACCATGACTGATGTCGCCCCCAACAAATGTTCAATAGGCCATTGGCGTTAATGTCGTATTTACATGGAAGAGTGACTGTATCCCCAACCTGTCCAAACACCAGTTTTGATGATTCGCTGCAGGCTACAACACAAAAACAGAGAGAAGTATCAACACTTGTTAGTTTTAGGTAACAAAGTATTAGATTCCTCATGCATTTCACATATTTTTTCCCCTTATAAAGGCATAACTTTCACTATGGGCAACATATCAAACTAATCAAATAAACTTGAAGTGAATCCACTTTGTAAAAAAAAAAGCACAAGATACACAATAATACATAGAATATTATACACAGACCACAAAAAAATATAATTTTCTTGTTTTTGTAGTCAAATATCTGAAATTCTCAAAAACAAGAAACATTTAAAATACCTTGTAAATTGTGTATGACCCATTTGATCTTAAATTAAGTTTCTTTTTTGTATCCCTTAGGCATTTTTACTTCTTCTTTTAAGCATACACTTTATTAAATGTTGCTAGGGTTATGCTTAAAATAAGAAACAAAATTGTAAAAGAGAGGTAAAACATGACAAAAGATACTGATACTATTTTTGCACTGCACAGGAATGAAATATAGTATACAGTATTGTACATTATAGCACTACTGATAGAAGTATTATTTGTACTTACTTGCTACATGTATACTTGTTGAGATAAATAGAAAAACAATCATTTTCTTTGCTGTTGTACACTCAATAAGTCACTAATTCATGTGTGAATGGCTCATATACTAAAAATACAACTTCTCTTTTCCACGATGGCTGTTCGCCAATGGAAATAACTTCAACGTGCTATTGGTTCCAAAGCCAGACAGAAGATGATCCTTGCTGTAATTGTTTATGTGATGTATATTGTTCAAAAGTTTGTGGTCAGTATGACTTTTTTTTAAAAGAAATTAATTATTTTGTTCAGCAAGGCCTCAAGAAGCAAGAAATAAATCGGTAAAGGCATGTTACAAAATATTTCCAATAAATGATTGATCAATAAGAGACTACAAACTTTTAAGAGAGAGATACTGGGAAATAATAATAATCTTTAATGATGAAACATGTGACTTAAGTATTATTTAAAACCTGTTGGAAACTTTTCTCACATGTCATAGTTTACATGCATGATAAACAGGTACTATTTATTAATAAAAGATGATTTAAAGATCAACGGTTAGCTGTCATTCAATGCTTGTACTGAATGTGTAATCTTTATATTTTAGTTTCCAAGAAAGCAGCATTATTTAGTGAAAAAAAATCCCCAAATTTTCCCTTGCGGCTCAAAGTATGTCTAATTTAACAAGATTAAAAAGAAATGCCACACATGTCTACAAAACCAGTGTTCCCCTACCATTGTTTTAGGGGGGCGGAATAATCCATGTTTTAATTTTAACAGTAAAGCTCATTGTGCAGCACGTTATTTGACAAAAAGTTTATTTAATTTCATATGATTAAAATTGATGATAAATGATACAATTTGTGTTTTATGTCTTCGTTTTATTACCAGAAAAAACACAACACAGAGTTAGTGAAATTTATTTTCATATATTTTTTTTAAATGTCGTATAAGTTTAATGATTCATAATACATTATTTAAATTAATTAGACACCCTTTTTGATTGCTAAAAAATGTACACCATGTATCCGTAACACACCCGCTGCGCAACACTAGCAGTTTAAAAAAAATCCTAGGGGAAACACTGAAAACCCTCGTCAACTTCCTTTTTAAGGGGGAATATTTTAATTTATTTTACACTGACCATTGCTGACAATACAGTTCCTGACAGGCTATTTCAAGTCTAGACAGTCATATTTTCCTTGAGACTGGAGGCTCAGTTTGAGGAAAGTTGAAGTAGCGGATTGGCAACGCTAACCTCATTGCAATTCAAACAGGTTTCCATCTTTCAGTGTCAGAGTTTCTTCATGGCTCAACCAGACACAGACCCCAAACTTCCATAAGCAACAGTTCTGTCACAAATGTACTGCAGCAGGAGATGCCAGGCTGCAATAAAGCACATGAGACAGAAGTAGAGAACTGCATCCATCTTGTTTACTGTTTCACTTCCGTTCTCACACAAATCATGCCATTACATCACTTTGAAATATAGTCACAATATAATTCACGCATGAACACAACAACGTGTCCTATCAGCTTGAAAATGTTCTCATTTACGATGTTCATCTTTCCATATACAGTATATTTTTTTCAAGTAGGCTACCCTCTTACTAAGTCAAATGCAGTGAACTGAAAAAGAAAGCCATGGCATCAGTCGTATAGGGTAGACTGGGTACAGTTGAGACACTTTTTGCGTTTTGATTTTTCACACAAAAATAGATGCTGAAAAGACGTGAATTTCCACATGATATGCCACATGACATTTCATGAGCTTGTAGACTAAGATATTATCAATCAATATTACTCATAAGTAGTTTATATTTTCCACAATTAGCTCATAAAAATAAGGTGCTTTTTGTCTCAACTTTGTCTCAACTGTACCCATATGTGGTACAGTTGAGACAGTACCATGGTACAGTTGAGACACCCATTTTTAATGATGTAAAGGTAACTAATCGTTCATTGAAAATATAATAAATAAAGACAAATAAAAAAAATAACAATTGGGCAACATGTTTGTTTATTCATCCATTCAAATTCATTAATGTTATTTAAATTAGCACTGGTTAAATTTTATAAAACAGAAACAATATATTTTATATATTCATAAATAATACACAGTTTAATTATCACAAATACCAAATTTTTATTTCATTTGCAGCTTATGCTGGCTAATTATGACATTTAACCTGTTATCATAACACTGAACAACTAAACAGTGTGTTTCCTAATAGAACTCTATCGCGGGTACAGTTAAGACAGTGTGTCTCAACTGTACCCTAATGGCCACCTCGCGCATTTCTCTAGATTTTGCAATGACCATGCCTGAAACAATCCCATGAAATATGCCCGTTTTTAGGGCACAGAATAACGTTTGTGATTATACCAGTTACGTTTAACAGTCACATAAGGATAATAAGCTATTCATTGTGGAGTGTGCATGGTGAAGTGAACGTCTTACCTTAAAAAAAAAACTTTTGCCGATATCTTCGGAGCGGAGATGCGTCCATTGATCAAATTTCCCACGACCAAAGAGGACACTAATACGCATGTGCACAGCAAAAATCACAACTTGTGCTGGCTGCGCACGCAAGTTATTTAAGGTGTCTCAACTGTACCTATGTCTCAACTGTACCCAGTCTACCTACATTGCTGCAAATAGGTTTTTACAGAGACTGGATGTTCAAGTTTATTAAACTAAACGGTTCTCAAAAGGGGGTGCAATAAACTTCCCTAATTCTCAAATCTCGCTTTTTACACAGTAAAATTCACTAGGTTCGTGAGTTTGTTATCAATTTATCGAATTTACCTCCCCTTTCTTGTGTGTTCCATGGGTGGAGATTATTTAAATGAGTAACATTATGACTTAATAAGATCTGAAAAAACCATGTTGTAGTCCAAACAAGCTGTTCATTGTAGTTCTTAAAAAAGGGGATTCTGTGAAATAAATGTTAAAGCAGCACTAAATAGGAATTCCGTTTTTGTCAAACAGCGACCCCTAGAGTCGCTGTGGAGTACTTGTACTGTCGTGAATAGCACTCACGCAGAGATGGCTCGCACTCAAGGGGGTAATCCACCAGCCGGAAACTGAAGTCTCCCCAGGGGCCGCCATTGGCTAACAAGCCTTCACCTGCTGTTAGCATCCCATTGACTCCCATTCATTTTTGCGTCACATTGACAGCGAATAACTTTACATCTGAGGCGTTTAAAGACTCCATTTGTCCATTGTTTATTTCTAAAGAAACATGACAATGTATAAAAGGCCCCATTACCTTGTATCTTACGTTACCATAAAGTCAAGGGAGAAGCCCATAGAGTGTCATAAAGATGCTCCTGCTGCTAGCTCATGGACAGCTAATACTCACGAACTCCGGCTCTGCAAGATTGGGAAGGGAATGATTCAGATTCCTCTTGGCACAGCTACTAGAAGACGTACAAGTTGCTCACGTCACAACTACGTCTTCAAGCTCAGTTTGAGCATGCGCAGTACGCTTGGCAATCAGGAAGTGAGTGCTTCTAATTGACTTCACTTTTCTCGTTGAAGTCTATGGGGTCGCTGTGTCCATTTCTTTTACTGTCTATGCTCGCACTCACGGCCGGATCCCCTCCCCCTGTACACCGGTACCTGTTCAGTAGGATGGACGCTGTAACGATTGGAAATAAGGTATGGCCCCTTTAAGAGCTGCGCGCGCCCAACACCACATGTATACGGCGCCGGGTTATTTCTGTTTGATGCTCATTTTATCAGAATTTTATCAGATCTGTTTTTTGCCGTAAAGCAATTCATTACCTCGCGAGACCTGATATCACACGATACTTCCTAACACTGAGGACTGCCCGCCGGGCCCGGCCGTGATATTTTTTTTCACAGGATGGTAGGGGAAGACTCATGAATATTCATTAGGGAACTCATCCCTGATTGGTCTTAACCCCAGTGACGGGTAGGTTTAGGGGCGGGGTTAGGGGTAAGTCATCAGACCCCCAGTGACGGGTAGGTTTAGGGGCAGGGTTAGGGGTAGGTCATCAGACCAATCAGGGATGAGTTCCCTAATGAATATTCATGAGTCTTCCCCTACCATCCTGTGAAAAAAAATATCGCGGCCCGGCCCAAAGTAGCAAGGGTGGTTTTGCGGCTCACAGGCACCAGAGGGGTGCGAGATGACCACCATTCAACACGAAATCAGTACATTACAATGACTCCAAAGCTGTTCGGTTAAGGTAAAAAAGTTACTTAGTTCACCTTTAAGCTTTCAGCTTTGTAACCTTGCAGATCTTTATTATGCTCAAACAACAACGTTACACATTAACTAAAGTTGAAAAAGTAGAAAAGCATAATAAAAGCCTATATTAATAAAAGTTGCAGCATTGATAACAAGTTTCTGCTCTCCTGGATGTTTCTCAGCGCGATCTCCGAGTGTCGTATGTGTGTGTGTGTGTGTGTGCGCGCGCTTCCATAAAAACAGTGCATAAATATAGAAAGGTGATTCAACTGACTTGGAACTACCTGTGCATTAAACCGTTTTACTGCACACCTTCCATCCAATCAGAATAGAGTATTCAGACAAGCCATGGTATAAATATATATAATTCAACATTTTTAAGACACGTTATTTTCTCTCATCATCCCTTTTTTCATACTCATCCTGCTGAGCCTTAATCCACTTGTGTTCTATTGAAGTATGAGTCTGGATCTCAGTTACTTACGTCATGATGTCCTAAACCCCCTTTCTTCTTGAATTCCTGGCCTCCCACTGACAACTCATTTTTTGGATTTAGGAAAATTCAGTTTTTTTGCTTTATTGCATGGTTATTAGTATTTGAAAGATTTTCATGCTCTCTGACAGAAAAAAAACCCCTCTCTAACTCTAGAAATCAAATCCAGTATTAAAATGAAGACAAATACTGAAACACGACTTCTGAACAGAGACATCAGCTTATTCATTTGTCTCATGTTCTTGGGCATTACTGTTATGGTGCTGCTTACTCTTTTCATTTTACTTGGGAGACAATTCCTCTAAATGATTCTGCCAGCTTGGCCATTCGCCTGGCTGGAGGTCAAAACAATCTAAAAATCCTATATGACATGAAATCAAAAAGGCACTTAAACAGTTGTTTAAATGTGACGGCTGGAAGGGTAAACACATGGTCCACGGGGGCATTCATTATAATCATTTTTCATGGAACTGGTGATTATTTTGTGTA